TTGTTTCTAAACAAAGCAACTGTTTGATTTGGATTAAATTTTCAAATTGAAATCAACAATTAATTTTAACCACACATTTCATGGGATTCACAAATTTTTAACCACATATTTCATCAATTTTTATCAAAATTTATTAAAATCTGATTTTAAACTCTACCAAACATGTCTAAAATTTGTTTACAAACTAAGTGTTGACAAGGTCTAGACTATTGATTTCAAAAATTATTTTTTAAGGAATTTGAGGATATCACGACGGACGAGTTACCAAGGAAATTGCCACCAAGGAGGGTGATTGATCATGAGATTGAACTTATTCCAGGGGCCAAACCTCCCGCAAGGCACCCTACCGTATGTCTCAACCGGAGCTTGAAGAGCGTCTGAAACAATTAGGAGAATTTGGAAAGTGGGATTATCGTGCCTGCAAAATCACCATATGGAGCTCCCGTGTTATTTCAGAAAAGGCCGATGGTTCTCTTAGAATGTGTCGCGACTATCGAGTTTTGAATAATATCGCTGTAAAGAATAATTATCATATTTCGCTGGTCACCGATTGCTTCGATTGACTTAGTCGGGCGAGATACTATACAAAGATTAATCTCAAGTCTGAATACTGGCAAGTTCGGATCAAAGAGAGAGATGAAGCAAAGACTACGGTGGTAACAAGATATGGAGCCTTTGAATTCAAAGTGATGCCTTTTGGCTTAACAATTGCTACAGCAACATTTTGTATGATGATGAATTAGGTACTTTACGATTTTTTGGACAATTTTGTAGTGGTGTACCTGGACGACATACTCATCTATAGCGAGACATTGGAGGAACATGTACAACACGTGAGGCAGGATTTCAATCGACTACGAGAGAATGAACTCTATGCCAAACCGTCTAAAAGCATATTCGCTCAGACCTTTATCAGTCTCTTGGGTCACATCATCGAACAAGGTAAAATACGCATGGATGCGAAGAAGGTTGTAGCCATCAAAGATTGGCAACCGCCAAAGAATGTTCACGATGTGCGTTCGTTTCGCGGGTTATGCAATTACTATCGAAGATTTGTGAAATAGTACTCAAAAATTGCATTGTCACTTACTAAATTGACAAATAAGGATTGAGACTAGTCATCCCAATGCCAAAGTGCTTTCGAAAAGTTGAAGAACTGTATGTGGACGAACCCGGGTTAGCCTTATCGAATATGACTTAACCATTCAAAGTGCATACCGATACTTCAGACTTTGCACTTGGTCAAGTCCTTATGCAATAAGGACATCTTGTAGCTTACGAAAGCCGAAAGCTAAATCAAGCAGAATGTCGTTACTTGGTGCACGAAAATGAGTTGTTGGCAGTAGTTCATTGCTTTAGAGGATAACGTCACTATTTGCTTGGGTCTCCATTTATTGTGGAGATGGATAACATATGGTTAGTCACTTTATGTCCCAACCGAAACTATCAAGCAAATAGGCTCATTGGCATGAACTTCTTTCAGAGTTCAATTTTATGCTAGAGTATCGGCCCAGATCTAGTAATCATGTTGTTGATGCTCTTAGTTGCCCAGTCGACTTAGCCACCATTTGCTCTATGGCTGCTCTTTCAGGGAGCACAATTACCACAAATACAATGGACTAAATTCGGGCGCTTTCGATAAGGACTCGATTGCTCAATATTTGGTCAACCTCATCAACCAGGGTAAAACTCGAGAGTTCTGGCTCGATGGGGGGCTAGTAAAGACTAAAGAAGACCGCCTATATGTCCCTAAGGGCGGAGATTTGATGAAATCACTAATCATAGAATGCTACGACACGATTTGGGCAGAGCATCCCGCAAAGGAACGCATTTCTGCACTATTACAAAGCACATACTACTGGCCTCAAATGCGGGACAACATTGCAATTTATGTGAAAATTTATCTTGTTTGTCAGCAAGATAAGGCATATCTCAACTAGATCATTCGAGAGTGTATTGATGGACTACATTGTTGGATTGCCAAAAGTTGGAGATTTCGGCACTATCATCGTCGTGGTAGATCGTCTATCAAAGTACGTAACTTTCATCACAGTATGTATCAACCGAAGAGATAGCTCAACTCGATTTCAAGCATATTGTCAACTATTATATTGGGGACTACCTAAGGACATCATCAGTGATCGGGTCCTCGATTTACCGGCATATTTTGGATTGAATTGTTCAAACTTCTTGGTTCAACTTTGAATATGAGTTTTAGTTTTCACCCACAACTGACGGACATACGGAGCGCTTCTATTCTATGCTGGAAGAATATCTTCGACACTTTATCTTTACTTCGTAGAAAGGTTGGGTGAAACTTTTGGATGCGGTTAGGATGTGTTTCAATGCCAAAAAAAGCTATTCCAAAGAGCTCTTCCACCAATAAGAATCATTTTGAGATTATTACTGGCCAGCAATCGTTACTCTCTTATACTATAGATGTCGATCAAAGTACCAAATCCTCTCAAGAAAAAAGCTTCTCTCAAGAGTGGAAATGAAACATTGAAATTGCTTGGAGTTATCTTGGGAAAGCTCAGAAACGATATAAAAAGTCGACAGATTTAAAGTGTCGTTTCCTTGAATTTAATGTTAGAGATCTGATAATGGTTAAACTCACCGACAGAAATTGTTATAAACCGACAAGAGGGAAAGACTCAAGATTGGTGCCAAAATATATTTTACCATTACCCATTGTGAAGAAGATTGGAAGAGTCACATACAGAGTTGCACTCCTTTTATGGTGTAAAATCCACAAGGTCCTTCAAGTGGGTGTACTCAAGCCATACTTTGTCGACAAGGAGGACGCATCCCCTATATGAGCTAAAACGACCAGTGTTTGAACTGAAAAAGATATGGAAAGAAGGTTGCTGAAGAGATTCTTGACCATCAAACTACTCGACCTTCTAGGAAATATCATCAAGAGTACTTGATCAAGTGGAGCAGATGCAGTGGCGAGGAGAATACTTGGGAAAGAGAAAAAGACATTGAAGACTTCAAACCATTAATTGAAGCATATCATTCATCGATGGCTCCGAGAATGTCGCCAAAACAAATGTGGGAGAATGTCAAGGACCACAGCTTTACTTAAATCCCTTGACCCAATCGCTATTACAGTTTGCCAAACTTCGGCCGTACATTGTAAATACAAGTTCAAGTTTGAGTTGTAATTTTCTTTCCATTGTAATAGTTTATTTCAATTGTAAAATAGTTTTGATATTGATAAATATTTAGTATGATTCCTCATCATTTAAACGTCTACTCCTATCACTTAGATTTTTGTTCCGCAAGCTATTATATGGGGTATTAGTCATTCAAAAATCTTTCAAGTTTACTGGTGTTCGCCCATACACAGCCATTGTAATTTTCTACTTTTATCAATTGTAATTTGTAGCTTTCAAGTAATCAATGATTAATTTACTTTCAATGTATGTTAATTTTATGTTGTAAGTTTTTTACAAATTGTAATCAAATTTTCTTTGTTCCCGAAACGACCGACAGAAGGCAGAAGGTAGTTTAGTGAAGCAGACTATTGCCGCATATTGTCCCTCTCTGTGCTAAGAAGAAAGGTATCCCGTGAAATCGCGTCTGTCACGTTTTACGTTGTTTAGAATAATGAAATTAAGTGAATAATTTATTTGAATATCTCATGCAATGGTATATCAGTTTCAAATTTCAATGACATATTAGTTTCAACTTTCATGTAGATTAATATAGTAACCCCAACAATGCGCATAGAAAAAAGGGAAAACAACGATTATGCATTTTTTTTATTACTAGTGAATTGAACGTGCGTTGCACGTTAGTTAGATAATATTTATTAAAAATAAGTGTGTAAATATGAGAGAAATTCATTTATATATATACGTAAGAGATACTCATAAGTTGGTTAGAATTGATTTACTTTTCATCTATTTTTCTTTTTATATTTTTAATTCGAAGATTTGGTATTCACTGTATTTAACTTTTTGTTACAGCTATTTATTTCTTTTGTACATAAACTCGGAATTTTTTCATATTTTTTAACTGCTCAATTTCCAAAAAATTACTATTTCAAACTCATTTTCATGAATAATGGACATCAAACCAGGGTCAAATAGCATGCAAATCTTGTCGGTAAAATTTAAATTGCAAAACAAAAAAATTAATGGGACAAGTGTAGTATTGATGGTCCATTTTAAGGCGACGTGAAAAAAAATGTCCAACGACGACTTAGTAGCCAAATTCACAAGAAGCTGCTCATTTTTCAATTTGTCAGAAATTTTACAAAGTATTCGGATATAATTTCAAAACATGTATGCTCTAATAATATTAAGCATGATAATACAGTGCCTACTGTCCCATTGTGAAGTATTCATTTTAGAAGCATCTCAAGCCTTCACATTTTAAGTATTCAAAATTTCATTTGCAGCAACAATTACGGAGCATCATGTAATATATCTTCATAGTGAACATCATCTCAAGCAAAACACCCACAGACACATTAATGTCCCCTGTTTTGCATTATTTTCGTATAATTCTTGTGTGCACCAAATCCGATCGAATCAAATTACTTAAAAGATAAGTATTTTAAAAAAAAGATAGTTCAAATTTAGATCGCTCTAAAGTTCAATTGAGACAGTTAATTTATTAACAGAATTCCTGAGAGATCAATTTGTGCCTGTTAGATTGTCTTCCTAGTTTATGTTTATGTTTCACAACATGAGGACTGAATTGAAGTAACTCCCTGGTTTAAGGAAACAAAACAATTTTTTTTTGTCAAAAAACAAAAAATCACGAGTACATGCACGCACATGATGTTCTCATGGTTCTTCTATTAAAATTAATGAAACAATATGATTTTTTTTTAACAAAACAGGCAACTACAATTTAAAATGTAAACCCACTCTAGGGGATAAGAAGGTAACATCACATATGATACAACCAACGACACTTGGTCAGTTGGAAGATGTTAAAATACCATTGGAAAGGATGCGGATAGAAACACCGGTGCTCTCCTGAATTTACTTAGAGCCTTGTTTTCCTATTAAACTAATGCCATGGGAGGATGCCACTAATAACCGAATCGAACAAAATGCAATCCCAGCAATACCAAGGACCTCACCATCACCATCATTCTCATGTAGTCCATTGATGCGTTTGAATACTCTTATTATAGCATCTATTGCAAGAGACATTGGTGCTTCTGGTTCTTCATTCCCAGAAATCAGAACTTGAAGTTTTTTAACATGAAAATAATGTCAGCAGTATTAAAAATGAAATTAAAAACTTGAAATAGAAAGAAAGTTTTTCCTAATTCAAAGCACTCACAATGATGGATTAAACCTGTGTACACAAACTCAGGAAAAAAAGGTTTTCTCCATAGGTTTATCAATTGATCCAGCGGCCTAATCATTAAATCAAGGACTTGTACACATATAGGTCAGAAGTCACACAGACAACATCAGAGTCCCACTTTAAGTAGGTCAGCAGAATCTGCCAATGAATAATCTAAACGAAAATACTTTCTTGTGTCTCCGTGACGCATGTCTCCACACGAACGTCTCCTTGACATTCAAAGTTCATCAAAGGGTTTTGCCTCGGACATCGTGATTTAGGCACAAATTTATCCAACATCAGCTTGAAACCAATTGAATTTGAGTTGCTATTGTTATTACTGCTAATAGAAGCATCCTCTGTGAGTGAGCCGATGATGTGTCCCTTCATATAAACATCACATGCCTTCAGAATATAGTAGCCATGTCTTCCGAAATGCTCAACGACAAGCTCTCCAAAGTTTTGCAAACAATTATGCAGTTACATTGTAAGGAAAGCAGTACATCGCTTAACACAAAGTTTTAAAGCCTAACATACATAAAAGTTATTGGGAATATACAGAGAAGACAGAAAGGGGAGAAACAGAAAACAGCAAAAAAACATTAGTATGTTGAAGAAGAATATTTTTGGGGATGATTGTTTGGACAAGCACTCTCAACATAGATAATAGGTTTAGAATTTAGATCAGGCCAATTTTGTAAGACATGTTACATTCCATAGTAAATAAAATAGCTTGTATACTGAATAGTAATGCGAATTTGTGAACAAAGAACTCAAGATAAAATCAAATGTCTATGATTGTTCAAGGAAAATGAGCAACATCAACTTGGCAGGGAAAATGAGTTAAATTTGGTTTTTATCACCTTTGGAGGTTTCCGCATCAGATACATCATTGTCTTACAGTTCAGCAAAAATGTATTCTCATTGTAAGAAAACGAATTTTTCTCCCCTTCAGCTGTGCCAATTTTACATGTCGTGTCTCCGTACGAGAACGTGTCTCCGTGCGGGCGATGGCTAGTGAAGAGATACCGCGTTTATGTAATAGCAGGAATTTCTTGTCATTCTTTAGAAGCACAATACCCTGCTTCAAGAGCTAACTTCTTGTGCTCTGAAGAACATACGTCTCGAAGTCCAAAGTTCCGATATCGATTTCTCGCAAGAGCTCCATCAAAAAGACCAAGTCGGAGTTGAACAGAAAACAAATTTAGCAATGCTCTATCTATCTCTCCCTCTGAAAACCTTCCCCTACTCGATTGCAGCTTTAGTGGCATATACGTTCCACAATTAATATCAGTTCCTGCCATAAAGTTTAATAATAAATTTGGCATAAATAACAGTTATGTGGGAGTGTTACAACTAATATTCAAATAAAGCATATGAAACCTGCTTTGAGAGAACTGACAACTGCATCCTCTGGTGTTTTTGCGTATTTATAGTCTTCATAAATAGTAGTCATAGCATCACAATCCGAAGGAATGTATCTGTATGATGGTATGAAAGAACATAATTATAAGTCTTTGCAAAACATCATATTGCTCACGAATTATTATAAAAAGTGGAAGGAAAATACCACCCTTAAAAACTTCATTCTTTCGAGCTTTTTGTAACAGATCGTGATTTGCACATGGAAAGGAATGAGAAGTTTGTAATGGGAGGTTGCGTGGGAAAATGGAAGAGGAGTGGGTGGTTGCGTGAAATAATGGAGAAGTAGGAACAACGGTGCGAGAAATTTTGACGAATTTCAGGGAATTTTAAAAAAAATGAGTAATTTTTTATGACAATTGGAAATAGCGACACGTGTTGGCATTTTATTTTGGCTCTTTTAATAAAGAAAAAAAAAAAGAATAATGCTACTTGCAGTCGCCCACTGCAGCAGTCGCCATATGTAGCACACACATGTTAAGTGTGTATTT